CATCAAGGCGGGCCAGGCAAATCATGTTTATTAGTGAATTTAGTTCTGATATAAGGCATATTAGTGGTCAAAATAATATTGTAGCGGACACATTATCTAGAATTGAAACAATAACAAGTCCCACGATTATCGACTTCGCAGAACTGGCAGTTGCGCAGGAAGTCGACGAACAGCTTGCAAAAATTCTTAGTGAATCGGATAACAACTGTAAGTTGATATTTAAGCGTGTAACTTTAAATGTACCCAATAAGCATATTGTTTGCGAAACATCTACTAATAACATACGTCCTTATTTACCGGAACAATTTAGGCGTTTAGCTTTTGATTCGATACATAACTTGAGCCATCCAGGCATTAGAGCTAGTAGAAAAATAATAGCAGATAGATATTTTTGGCCAAATATGAATAGAGACATCGGTAATTGGGCCAAAACATGTATAAATTGTCAACGAGCGAAAATACAGAAGCATACAGTATCTAATTTAGGACAATTTGAGATTACTAAACGTTTCGAGCATATACATATAGATTTAATAGGTCCTTTGCCAATCACAACTGAAGGATATAGGTATTGTTTAACCATAGTGGATAGATTTACACGTTGGCCAGAAGCTTTTCCTATAAAGGAAATGACTGCAGAAGTAGTCGCAAAGACGTTATACGAGGGTTGGATTAGTCGTTTTGGTTGTCCAGTTAAACTTACAAGCGATCAAGGTCGACAATTTGAAAGTAACTTATTTAGACAACTAATGTTATTAATGGGAATTAAAAAGTCAAGAACCACCCCGTATCATCCTCAGTGCAATGGAACAGTAGAACGTTGGCATAGATCGTTGAAAACTGCAATTACAGCTCGTTTAAGCAATAAGTCTTGGGTAGATGAACTGGCAACTGTAATGTTAGGATTACGCACGACAATTAGGTTAGATACAGGCGTAACCGCCGCACAAATGTTGTATGGTAATAATATTAGATTACCTGGTGATTTTTATGATGGAAGCAATGTGAAATCGTGTGATGATAATGATTACGTTAGCAAGTTAAAAGAAGTTATTGACGAATATAAACCGTCTAGTAGAGAAAATAGATCATCACGTAAAATTTTTGTGCATAAAGATTTGTATACTTGCGATTATGTTTTTGTTCGAAATGACGCAGTAAGGAAACCGTTACAACCTCCTTACGACGGACCATATCGCGTCATTAATAGAACTGATAAAGTTTTTTGTATACAATTGCCAGACAGACAACTTAGAGTTTCTATAGACCGTCTTAAACCTGCATTTATGTTAGCAGAGGATAATGTACAACCGGAAGTAGTAGATAATAAGGGTAAAACTGTCTGTCAAAAAGTTCAGAAAAAAGTAACTTTTCAAACAGCCGAACCCAGTAGCTTTGGTTATACTACGAGAACAGGACGAGTCAGCAAAAAGCCAATGAAGTATTTGTAACAAATAATTTTGCTGATTAGACAATAATTTAACTAGGACGTTTGGTTATATAATTACGTGTTAATATGAAATAGAAAATGTATTATAAATTCATTTAGTGTTTGATACCTGTACGTCGTAGTTGATTAATTAGGAAATGGGCAACTTACAGACAAAGGACAAAGTTGTTGTTAACGAAAATATATCCAGCACAGCTCAAGTAGATAACAAGTTGAATATGATTGGTATCGTTATGATAATTATTATAGTACTACTGATTATAGTGATTGGATATGCATTAAAACGAAAATGTGCTAAAGGCGTCAGGAAATGGTTGAAGAAAGAAATGGTTGCTAGTTCTATAACCTTACCAAATATTAAGGTAGAAACTATGCAACCGCCGCAAATTAATAATGGAACGTCTGCACCTCATAAAGTGGTTTACTGATTATTTGATCGAAAAATCGTCGTGCATTCATGTTATTAAGTGTGTATGTGATTGAAATTATTTTGTAACGATTTAATAGTGTGTGTTATATTTTGCTATTCGGTCATAGAACAAGCTGCATGGTTTGTGTTGTTGGTGTCCGGCCACAACGATGTCAAGAAAGGATAACAAAATGTAACCCAAACATATTATATTATATGCGTAATATAAGAATAAATAATTGTGTTAAAGTCATGGTAAATTAATATTTAAGTACGCTGCTGATATCTAAATTTTAAATAGCGGATAATGAATGTTAAAACTTTTGTCGCTATTACAATGTTGGAATGTATTCACAGACTTATCGCATAACAATACATAGCATAGTACTCATATTAAGTTGCAAACTGTTGATTGAGCAGAAAGATGATGTCACCTTTGGTGACAAAGTAAATTCACAAGAAATATTGTTTGATAAATATACTGATTAGAATTAAGATTTTGTGTTGTAAAAAAAAAAATATAAATATTTTTTTTAAAAAAAGAGGGAAATAGTGTTGCGGGAATGCTGACGCAACGTTTTGAGTTATCGGTACTGTAGTGCGCTGTGAACCACAGTTGTCCCGTGGTCGTCTTGTATACCGTACTACAGCACACCCATATATATTGTATACAGTCGTGATTAATAAATTTAAATAAGTTGTTCATAGACTTATTATTTCTCTCTGTACACATACGCAACCCCAGTAATAAAGGAACAAAGTAACGACCAGTTACAAAAAGATCAATTCGTGATTCATTTGTAAGAGTAGTGCTATAATACTCGATGCCATCGATCAATTTCTCAGTAGTAGTCATTTTACCATCCATAACAGGCAATAGGCTTAACGCAATCTTCAAGTTAAATTCCATGGTTACAGTTTTGATAATAGGGCACTCACTACAAAGTTCTATTATTTTAGAATATATGTTTTTAAACTTTAAACAATATTCATTTATTAAGAGACGCTCGTCTTTTGAAAGTCTGCCTAAATTAATAGATTCATTAATATTTTTGAGGCTTTCACTATACTTAGTATTTATTAAATTGGCCTCACCAAGCTTTTTTACGAGTACTTCACCTTTTCTACGAGATGGTCCGATTTTCACCAAGTATGTTTTTATATTTAATAATTCATCAAGCAACTCTTTTAATAAATCGGCCATAACATAGTAATCATATGCATAACAATAGAAGAAATTAGTATTACATTATAAAAAGATTACACATTTTTTTTTTTACTTGGGTACTTAGGTAGCATATATTATGCTCTAAAAAAAAAGTAAATTAAGATTGAAACGTGTCCTGTGTCTGATTTTACCCGATTTAGATAACTATTGTCACTTTCCGCACATTACTAACACTAACACAATTTTTTTTTTTTTTTTAAGGCACTTCCACTTTGCACCGCACTTTTCTTTTTTTTTTTTTTTTTTATTATTATTACTTTTTTATTTTTATGCACTTTTTCTTACCGCACATTTATATTAATAGACGTATTTCGTACTGCCTTACAATGCCCAGCATTATGCGGTTTCTTCTTTAAAACCCCTGCGAGCCTCTCGCCGGAATAAGGACAGCTGTCTTTGCAACAAATAGCCATCGCGACAAATAGAAATTCGAGTAGGTACTCTGTATCTTAACGGACCACACAGGACGCGCGCACGCGCCTTTTATGGCAGGGTCGCCATGTGACGTTGGGAGTCTATGTAAATAATACTCAGTTGAATGTGAATGCAAGAGTGACTATAATTCGAATCAATACATTGTTTTATAGTTTCTCTTATATCTACTACATCACACCTCATTGCAGTCATCGGGGAGGATCTCTCGCTACCGGCCGTCATAGGCCGTCCATGGCGTCATCTCGCAGAAGGAGGCGGCGGAGTCGGCCCGGGAGGACAGCCTTCACTCGGACCCAATCCGTCGCCGGCGAACCGGGCGGCGGAGGCGAGCTTATCACCGCCTCATGCCGCCCTGAGTGTGGCCGCGGGTGGACGGGGCGGGTTTTCCCCTCCACCTGCCATAACGGCCAGCCGCGAGGAGGCGACGTCCGCGTGTACCGGAAGTCGCCTAAATAGAGAATGTACCTGAAGGTGGTGCCCGTATCGTTGCGGGGTCCGGAGGTGCTAATAACAGCAGTTCCCGGATCCCTCCTATTACAGGCGCAGAGTGGCACACCGTGTGGTTTTAGTCGGTCCGATTCCGACACACCACCCCGCCGTAAACCCCGGTGGGGTGACGGCCCGAGGGGGTTTCCACACGTTAAAAAAAAAAGGGTAGTATTTAAATCAATATATTTTTTCAAATATTCTTCCTGTCGGAAAGTAAGAATTCGGTGAATTTTTCTTAGAACTAACCCGTATTTTAAACACTCTTTTAAGTGAATATAATGAATTACATAGTTAAATTTATCATATAAATTTGCTATGAGTTTAGCTGTCTTTCCTCCAGTTGGTATGAATTTCTCTGAAGCAAAAGGCAAATCACTATGAAAATCATGCACTGATTCAGGATATTCGAGATCTACCTCTAAAATGAAGCCATATTCGCTATCATCAGAAACACTCATTACATCGAAAAAGTTGATTTCCTTCTGATTTAAAAGTCTGAATTCTGAAATTGGGATTTTTCTTGTCATTGCATATCCATAAAAATTGTTGCAATCGAGATAAATCAAATAGCTAGTTATTTCTGGATCGATATACCAAATACAATATTGAAATTAGAAAGCATATTCTGAGGACAGTATAACAGCGCAGACGAGTGAGCTCACATAGTCAGATATTTCTGTTACCTATGTCATGGAGACTCTTATCGGAGTTTATTAATATTTGTTTATCACCCTCGCACCTTCGCAAGAATATATTTCCATTCGAAATCCAACAAAACTTGTAATCATTTTTCCTATCGAATTCGCGAGCCTGATAAAATAGCTTCTTGGTGATGCTCGGCAGCTTTTCGGCGACTTAGACCGGCCGGCTCTTTGCCGGTACACCGATGTCTGAGCTGTTTATTTTGTCTTGTTTTGGCTTCCCTACATTATATAATCTCACAGCTGAAATCAGGGCTTGTTTTTTTCTTACCGACGTAAAATCAACAATTATAGGACGTGGGGTGTCAGGGTTGGAGGACCTACCCGGCAGCCGATATATGTCACGGATCTCATAGTCCGAAACCTGTACACCAACAACTTCGGCCACTTTACTAATAGTCTTTGTGAGGGTATTGCAACATTCTGGGTACGCTCTAGGTTTTCTATATTTCTTTGCTGATCCTGGCGTTCCCTCTTAAGTTCTTCGACTTCCTTTTTTAAATCTTCGAATTGTTTATTAATAAATGAGATCGAGACTTTCAGTTCTTCATTTGTCTTGCGAATTTCGTCATTAGACTCCTTTATATGAGTGTTCTGAGTTTTAATTTCAACGATATCAGCCAAAATTGTGGCTAATTTGCTATCTTGTTCTTCCCTCCAACTCGATAGTGTGTTCTGAAGATTTTGGAAGTCCAATGTTGACCCGCCTTGAGGAGAGTCAGCCGATCTCGGGCGTTTATTTCTATTCATTTTCACGAGGTCACTCGTCAATGCGGCCGAGCTGATGTCCGATTCAGATGATGTATGAATTTGACGCGGATTGTCTGTTTGTTTCTTTTTTGGTGGGGTACGTTTTACAGTTGACATTTCGAATGTGGAAGAACAAGAAACGGTGGAATAAGGAAGAGCGAATAGTATTTACAATGACACTATCCCAAAGCAGCACAGCGCCTACACCAATGCACAGCGACGCGCGTAGCTAGTATGTATAATTCGTAAATTATGTAGGCGTTCTTGTAGTAGCGGTTACTGATGAAACCGTGTATAGAGGATCACTGTTTCACTCAACGCCGTTACCTGTTCGGTGGCGCGTCGGACGAGCTCTGCTGCTTCTCGCTCCCACGCTGAGGCGGTGCCGGATCCGATCCCACTACCGATCACAATCACTTTTTCTAGAGTGTTAATGCCAGAATTATATGTGTCCTCTTCTAGGACCACCCAGTGGGCGTGTACCACAGGTAAAAACACTTAAGGAGCAACAAGGAATTTTAAAAATCAGGTCCGACCAATAGATAAATTTTGAGTTTGGAATTTATAAAAACAATCAACACGCGTCCACTCCGCTGTACGTTCGGCGTAAAATCCCACATCAGAGGTATGTAAATTTGTTACTGGCGTTTTTGTTGTTCGAGGATGTATTTTCTTAGGTGCATTTTAAAAGTGACTATTGTTTTTAGTTCCCTAATTGGCGGTGGTATTGAGTTCCAGCATTGTGTTGCTGCATATTTAAAACTACCCCGAAACGCTGCTGTTTTGTGTCCTGGTATGCTGAGTGCTCTGGCTGATGGTCTGATGGAGTATGAGAAGTGGTTATGCCTCCAGTCTATTTTCTCATACAAATAGGTGGGACTGCTTTTTTTAACTACACCAAACAGTAAGCTGGCTAAATGCAGCTTCCTTCTGGCTTCCATCTTTACAATATTATGTTCATTCAAATATGGTGTTACATGATGACGACCATTAATCCTAAAGCAGTAACGAGCACAGGCATTTTGAACTCTTTGTATGAGGTTTCTTGTTCTGGCTAATAAGCATGGACCGTATACTACATCACAGTAATTTAATCTGGATAGCACCAGACTGTCTACTAATTGTTTCCTTAATGGTATACTGAGGTAGTTACGGATGTTATATAAAGTTTTTAACCTATAAAAACAATTCCTAACCACATTATTTACATGTGCTTCAAATCTCAGCTCTGGGTCCATTAGTAGTCCTAAGTTGTTAGCTTCATCTACCCTTGCAATCTTCTGTCCGTTTATGATGATAGCAGGGTCAGCCTGCAGTATAGACTGGATTTGTCCCTTACTACCCAATATCATGAACTTGGATTTCACTGGGTTTAGAGCTAAGGAGTGTTCTGCAGACCATCTGACTACTCTTTCTAGATCCTTGTTCATCTTATCCATCGCTGACCTAGTTTCATTAGGCTTACATGACAAAAACAGTTGAGTATCATCTGCGTACATGTGGTACCCACAATTTAAGAAGCAATCAGTTATGTCGGCTGTGTACAATATGAACAAAAGAGGCCCCAGGATGGAACCTTGTGGAACTCCCCTGGTTACTGCAAGAGGGGGGGATGACATAACTGATCCATCCTGTTTATATATTTCTACCTGTTGGGACCTATTTGAGAGGTAGCTGTGAAACCACTGGATTGACTCAGGGGCAAATCCATAATATGCTAATTTGGACAGGAGTAAGGATATATCAATGGCATCAAAAGCGCGGGAGTAATCTAGCAAGGCGAGTATAGTTCCTTCTCCGCGATCCCTAGCTTCCAAGATGGTGCCCACAACGTCACACAAAGCCGTTGCTGTTCCACGTCCCATCCTAAAGCCAGACTGTTTATCTGGAAGTATACCATTGGCCTCCAAGTATTGCACGACCTGCACATATACCACCTTCTCCAGCACTTTTGACAAGCAAGGAAGTAGGCTAATAGGTCTAAGGTCCTTTGTAGTATCCGGAGAGCCAATTTTGGGTATAGGTCGCACTATGGAATGCTTCCACATGCTTGGGAATGTTTGGGTAATAATAGAGGTGTTAACAATATCCGTAATAGCTTTTAGTGAATTTGGTAATATTAGTGTTAGCATTTCCATGTTTATTCTATCTATACCAGCTGCATTTGTTTTAATGCTCTGTAGAATTTTAAGTAAACTGCTCTGATCTACTGGTTCTAGTTTAAAGTATAGCTCAGGGTTGTACCTGTGAAATTCATAAAATGTTAATTTGGATATGCTCAGTTGTCTCTCGCATGGTAGCTTCATAAAATATTTATTTATAATATTTGGAGCAGTGAAATGGTCCGGTAAAAGTCTATGCTTATGTGATGGAAGCACTTTAGATTTTAAAGTTTTCCACAAGGATTTTGGGTCATGTATTTTATTATTTATATTATTTGCGAAATATACAGATTTTTCATTATATAATGCTATATTAGCTTGTTGTTTGAGATCCAGATAATATTTCTTTTTTGATGGCAGTTTAGTTTGATGGTACTCAGCCCTAGCTTTGTCCCTCAGCCTAAAAATGAACTTAATGTTGTCAGTTATCCATGGGGTGTACTCCTTTTTGACTAAAGTGTGTTTTATGGGAGCATGGTTGTCAAACAGATTTATTATGTGTTTTGATAAGCCTTCAACCATGTTGTCAATCCCATCCTCTAAGGCTAAGGCTTGCCACGGTATATGCTCCAGATCTGTATTGAAAAGGTCCGGTAGAATGTCCTTGTATGGTCTATATGTAATCCATTTGGGTTTGATTTTGCCCTTCCTAAATACTGACTCACAGGTCACTATCGAATGATGACCCAAGTTGGGAACATGACTGACCACAATATTTCTCACAGTCATGTCAGTGCATATGACATCTATCAAAGTGCCACTATTTCCTATGAAATGTGTTGCAGTGTTTACTACTTGACTCATATTAGTGTAATGAAGGAACTGTTGCAGCTTTGTAGTGTTTGCACAGCATCCATCCAACATATTGATATTGAAGTCGCCTAGAAGAATTATGTGGTCAAACGGAGCCAGTGCACCTATGCTGTCAGTCAGACCATCCAAGAACTTGACAGTAAACATCCAAGGGGGTCGGTAGGCTGTACCGACCAGAACCTTTTTTCCGGCTATGTTTAATGAGAGCCAATACTGCTCCACCTCACTGAGTAAAGGATGACTTCTGGTTTGTACCTTAACCCCATTTTTTATGTAGAATCCTACCCCTCCACCACGACCACCTCGAACAGAATTAGGTCTCGGAGTGTGCCTCAATCTATAGCCCGGTACTGAGGGTGCTCTCCCCTCCTCACCTGGCCTCAACCAGGTCTCATTGCAATCAAAAATTCATCATGCCTAGTTCCCAGTGACCCTGCGTTAAATAAACCAAACCTTAAAAATTTGTTCTGGATCATTTTTATTTATTATATTTTTCCAAATAAATATACCATATTCCCAACAAATTATCAATATATCTTAGTAATTGCCGAACGCAGGTGGTCATCATGTAAACCATAAAATGAGTTAAATTAGAATCTATATCCAAAAATATGTTTAATTTAATTTGTTCATTGGTGAAGTTAAGTAAGCGTACAACCCTCATCAAAAACACAACATTAGAGTTAAGGAGATCACAACAACACACTGTAAAAAAAGTTATTCCATTTTAGTTTCTTAAGATATGTACAATGTATACACTTCACACTATTAGTTATAAGGAAATGCCTGTTATTTTTACCTACTAATAATAATAATACCTTTGTAAATAGTTTTGTAAATATTTGTATGTAGGAGTTTTATAAAATTTATTCTGTAAACAGTTGTGTTTAGATTTGGCTTAAACATGTTTGCAATCAAATGTTTCTTGTAAATAGTCACATGTGAATATGTATTTTGTTTTATAGTAAAAGTGTTTGTAATCTTATGTTCCTTATAAATAGTCACATGTGAATGCTCCCCACCTTCAATGATATAGACAACATAAAGGACCATTACTAACACTGATTTAATTATTGGAGACTGAGCATGTGAAAAGGCAGTCGGCATTTACAGATTACCTGAGATGTTGATAAACGAACGTACCCCGATGTGATCATGCTAGTCTTTACTGGCGGTAACGGTTTCTTTACCGAAAACCTGTTCTAGATCAGCTTCAGAGCGAATTACATAGGTGCGCTTTCCGTCAGCTTACTTAGTCAGTACTCTGCCCCGACTCGTCCAGGTGAACCTCCAGCCCAGACTGGCAGCCGCCTGTCGGGCGCGGTAGAACAGGTGTTTGTTTGTTCTGGTGAGTCTCTCGTTGAGATAAAAGCATCGCGACGGCGCATCTATGCCGAGGTCGGCTGAAGTGGCACCGCGCCTAACGCGCGCGCTCCGCAGAAGCTCTTCCCGCAGCCCGCGCCGCGCCAGCCGCACCACGATGCGCCGACACCGCGCCGCGCCCGCCGACTCGCCTGACTCACGTGACCGCGCCACACGGGGGCCCACGCGCTCTGCGAACACTATATCCCGGGGCTCCAAGGTGACACCTAGTTTCTTCGCTACCAGTTCCACGGAGTGAAACACATTCTCACCGGGACTCTCAGGGAGGTTCGAGATCTCGATGTCAGAGAGCAGCAGTTCCTGCTCTCGTTCACCGAGCTCTGTTTGCAGCTGCTTCACCGTGTGCTCCAACTGGTCCACCGCAACCTCGGGGGAGGTCGCCTGCTTCCTCTCGAGGTCATCCAGACGTGACTCCAGGTGATCGACCTTTTTTTTGTAGGTAGCCACAGTCTGACGCAGGTCAGCCATCTCGAGGCGGAGCTCCCGCAGCTCGGTTCTAATATCTTCCCTCATTTCCTTCATCTCTGCTCTCATCAGCTTTATTTCGTAGGCAATATCAGCACCATGATCTTGATCTTTACTGGCGGAGCCACCGGTAGATTGAGAGGAGTCATAGGAACTAGTGGGGGAACGCTCATTCTTCTCATTGCGCGTTTCCTTTGCCGAGCTCGGCTGATTGCGGTCCTTGGGGATATTATTTTTGCAGTCTTGGCACTGCCATTCCCTGCTTACCCTCGTAGCATCCGGCAAGCGCAAACA